TTCAGGCAAAAACCTGATTGATCAGGGGTCAGATAGTTAGACTGTTGGTAATACTCACATAGTTGCGTATGGACTCATTTTTCTAAGATTTTTGACAATACCGGGAGCAATGATATTGGACGATAGTTAGAAACCAAAGTAATGTCACCGCTTTTATGGATAGGCACTACTCTCGCAGTCTTCCAAAGTTTGGGTATGTATCCAGACACCAAGGATTCGTTGATTATGGTTGTGACCGATTTAACAATTGCCGGCGCACTGAGCTTCAACAGCATTGCTGGGATTTGATCAGGTCAGATTGGTTTTTCATTTTTAAACTATTAAGGTGTTTCTTAATGACACTAATAGGTACAGGTCTAAAATTGAACTTGTTTATATTGGGTCTTTGCAAAATTAGTGGGGCCTGATCCACATTTGTAGTATCAGGGTGTGTTTCATTCATTAGCTTGGCAATCAGTTGGTGGAGCATCTGACAAAATTATTGTTGAAGACATTTGCTACTTCTAAGGGAAGTTGCAGAATTTGGTTGTCCACTTTGACAGTGGAAGGTTGGGAGTGGATTGTGGGAGTTTGTAATTTTATTTATGAGTTTCCAAAAGTTTCTTGGGTTTGAGATGTTATTATTCAGATTTTCACAGAAATATTGGGCCTTGGCAAATTTTGTTTGTTTAGTGCATATATTTCGCCAGTATGCTTGAACTTTGGCCACAATGAATCCCAAAACTGGATAAGGTCATCTGTGATCCAGTTCACATGTGCCCCTTTTACTCTGACCTTACGCAGCGGGGCATGCAAATTACAAACTTCTAGGAGTTCAGACTGAAACATTCAACTGCACAGTCTAGATCTGGGATAAAGTTTAATCTTTGCCATGGGAGGTTCTTGATGTCATTTAGAAAGGATTCAAGATTAAATTTTTTGAAGGACCTGGTGATTTTAGTAGGATTTAGTAGCCTTTATTTTGAGCACACAGTACACTAAGCAGTGATCACTGAAACTGAAGGGAGAATACCTGCCTCCTGGATTCTATCTGGAGAAGTGGAGAGAATCCAATCGAGCAGGGTATGGTTATGGCTTTTAATGTTTATGCGAGTTGGGGAGGAGATTAATTGCTTTAGCTGCAAAGTCTTAAACAGCCTGCAAGAACTATTATTTTTAGGATTCAGCCAATCAATATTAAAATCTCCAAAGACCAACAGTTCACTTTTTGGGTTTTGAGCTATAGTTTCAAAAAAGAGATGGGCTATGTCAGATAGGGAATGCACTGGGGAGCTAGGTGGGCGGTAGATTCCTGCAACAATGATTGATTTACTGCACGGAATCTCAAATATGCCAGAAAGGAAATCAAAGGTGGCAGGAGAGCTAAAGTTTTGTAAGGGGGTGAACTTTATGGAATTGTCAACATAAATGACAATGCCACCTCCTCTTTTTGCTCTCTCATTTCTATGGCATGAATACCCATGTATTGCAATGGTAGAGTCAGGTATTTTTGTGGTTAGCCACGATTCAGAGAGCACAATGATTTTGGGCTTGTAATGTAAACACCATGCTTGCAGTGCATCGATTTTTGGTAGTAAGCTGTGGATATTACAGTGCAGAAATGAGAAGCCTTTTTTAGCTGGACACACATAACGTGTGTTTGGTAGTATTGCAATTGTAGGGTTTTATACTTTTGTGGGGTGGAGGTTGGAGAAATTACAGCAACAAAGCAGGCCATGATGTATAAGAATTTGGTGTATGTTATGTTTTTTATCCAATTGCTGTTTAAACATCTGTATGGACTCTGATAAAACCACCTCTTCAGGCAGAGAATTCCATATCCTTATTGCTCTTACTGTAAAAAAAATATTTTCTTTGCCTTAGATGAAATCTCCTCCAGCCTAAATGCGAGAACTTGTGTCCAATGTATAGCCCTGTTTATAAATAGATTTTCATATAATGGCAAATACTGGCCCCGTATATATTTGTATATTGTTATCATATCCCCTCTGAGGCGCCGTGTTTCCAAACAAAAGAGATTTAAATTTTTTAACCTTTCTTCGTAACTAAAATGCTCCGTTCATTTTATCAATTTTGTAGCTCGTCTCTGCACTTTTTCTAGTGCCATGATATCCTTCTTTAGAACAGATGCCCAAAAAAAACTCCTGTTGTTTCAACTCCTACTTAAAAGAAACTAATTTAAATAGTCTACTTGTAAGCAAACTGCAGTGAGCATATACTTTGACAAAAATGGCGTCGGCATGGCTGATACAGTGTATGGATGTATACATATATAATTACAGACTCAATCTTCAGGTGATTTGCGGGAGTGATATTGAAGAAATTTAACTTTGGAGTAAGTAAATAAAATAAAAAATGCAGCTGCAAGTGTGAGTCATATTAGACTGACGGAGAGTTTGAAGTATGCTATTTGTACTCTATAAAAGCACTCTGATAAGGTATTTGGCAGCCAGGATAGCAATATCCCATCAGCTCTGACCTTTTAACAATGTTACACACAAGGTCCATTAACACTGAGAGTGCTTTTGGTGACAGAAGGCTAAAGGTGTAGTCCCTCAGAGTTTCCCAGGAAGAAAAGGCCTCCTCTCTAATTAGAATGATATAAATACAAGTTTCACTTCCTCATTATCCATGTTCTATATTGCTATGCAGCATAGCAGTATTTGTCTGCACCTTTACCGCAGCCCTGTAACATAGCCAAATCATCATTAAAGGAACTCTCTTAGCGCTAGACCTTCGAAGAGAGACTGGGCAGAGCAACCTAGCTTAGCTCGTTCCACAATCATGATGTGGAGTGCCTGATATAAGATAAAAACAAAAGGAACAGGTGTCAACCCAGATAAATATATTGAGGCATTAGGTGGGGACCAAGGTGTGTTTATCAAGGAGCCATTGTTTTGAAGGTGTGTTACAATCAGATACTTGTCTTCTGAAATTTGAATAATGTGTCCAGGTGTTGTTTCACATGGTTCTTTTTATGATTAGTTGTTATGTTTGTGGGAAGGGAGTTGATGAACTTCACCCATGTATGAAAACATTAGACAATACGAACATACTGGATTACAGCATAGGAATTAAATCCATTCAAAAAAGATGAAATAATTAGCTTCAAAAATCGTAATGTTTGTGTTTGGACATGTGATACTACCGGGCAGGTAAGTTCAGGAAGGAGGAGGTAAGGAATCCAGTGGTGATGGCTCGCCCATGAGTAGTTTAGGATGAAATAATTTATGTAGTTGTCATAATAAAAATTAAAAAAATATATATATTGCCTGTGATAAAATTAGATATCTCAGTTAGAGAACTATAGAATCCAGTGTTTACTGTACCTGGATTGCACTGGATTGTGATATAATGCGCTAAATATTTAATAGAAAATGAATGAAAATAGAGCAGATTAAAAAAAAAAAGGAAAACACAAGTTACAGTTGATTTTCCAATAATTATGCAGTTATGTAATTTCTAGATAAATTATGGTTCCCCTTTAAAGGGACACAATGGTCACCAAAAGCACTACAGCTTAATGTAATGGTTCTGGTTCCTATGGCCTGTTCCTGCAGGCTTTTCAATGTAAACACTGCCTAGTAACACCTCTACTGACAGTCACTCTAGAGGTGCTTCCTGGGTCAGTGCTGCACTCAGCAGCTCAATGCTCTGCATGTAGATCCTGAATGTTCCCCAAGGAGATGCATTGATTTATTGTATCTCTAGGAGGAGTTGCTTACTGGCTAATTTCAGCTACGGAAGTAGGTGTGCACCAATGGAGAAAAGGGAAGATAACTACCTTTTCATTGAAATGGAGGGGTGGGGAGGGGGGAGATTGTGGCTTACTATTCTAAATTAGTTAATTTGACTGCTGCTACGTTGAGAGAGTTTTAGTGTGCTTTAATGGTAAATTGTAATTTTGATAAGATCTTGTAAAGTATATAGTTACTAGTTAAAATATGCTTTAAAATACCTTTGAAAAGCCTCATAAAATAGCTATAGTAGGTGTACCTTGTCCCATGCCACTCTGAATACCATTGCAAATATTTTGAAGGGCATTTATAATCTACGTGTTTGGGGGTGGGAGTTTGCAATTAGCAGATTTATAAACAAGATTTTTAATATTTTGAGTAACAGCTTTCAAAAGCAAGTGTAGAAATCTGTATTTGGAGTAAAGTATTCGTATTACCAGTTATTGACAGTAGATGTCAGCATTGCATGTGTGTGCATTCTATGAATCGGCAATTTACCAGACTCTAATTCAACTTGGAGCTTTATTTTGTGTGTGTTTATTGTCTCATTTTTGTGTGCCTATATTTTTATTTTTTTAACTAAAGAAGGGGGCAGAGCTAACAGGTGTTCTTAGTAGATATATTATTCCGAGCTCTGTACTTTAAGAACTTTGTTTAGACATATTTCCAGATTTTCAAACGGAGGATACCACACTCACATTTAGGAATCCAGGTGTTTATCAGGGCCAGGGTTGGCAAAACCCAGTTTAGTAGATAAAATAAATTAGGTTCAGGCACTCAGGATTGCTAAAGGAAGGCAGGTTTATCTAAACAAAAAGTGCAATGTTTCGGCCTACACAGAGGCCTTTATCAAGGTGTCACCTCAGTGTCACAATACCCTATTTAAAGGGTGTCAACCATAACCACAATTAACATAATCTGTGCAAAATGCATCAATAAAATGAAAACATTCATACACTAAATTCATAAAAATTTACTCCAGTGCAAAAACAGTGCATTCATAATTATTAAATTCAAAGTAAATTAAAAGGTTCATCCAGAAAAAAAAACCCCCCAAAACTTTTTAATTTATTATGAATTTAAATCTGAGTGCCTGAACCTAATTTATTTTATATATTTCCAAATGTTAACCATTTTACGGACATCATACTACCCTCACCAATCAATGGAGAAAAGATCCAAGTAAAACAAGCCAGTGGCATGTTCTAGATTCTGGAATATCAGTGATTTTTTTACGATGTAGTCTTCCTCGTGCTGCATCCAGAATGTCGTCTTTGCTCGACAAGGAATACTCTTCCGTGGAGGAGTCCTCACTGGATGCCCTATATCCCTATAAGAATGTGCCTTACCAGTGGGTAAGGCCAAGATCTCTACGGTCTACTATTGGAGGGACTGTGCATGAATTATACACGGTAGTGGACTCAGCCAATTTTCTTACAGTAGTGGGCATCCATCCCGCCGAAGCACCTCCACCAAACAACGTTGGGATGTAGCCAACATTACAGCATTTTTCCCTATGGGGTGACATCCCAAGCCAGCTAGTATCCGCACTTGCTAGATTGTGGTCTGTTTCTCGTATGTTGTTTAGGTTTTCTTTTGAGCTTATGTTATCCTGATTTATTATTCGAATGTTATACTTTAATGTTACAGTTATCTTACCCTGCTAAACTCGGGGGCCTGTGCACTGACCTATGTGCCTGTTCCCACTTTAATACAGATTAAGGAACAGCGCACAAACCAAAAATACAGTTTTACACTTGGAGCTTGTGGGATATAGCGATTCTCAGTTCCCAGCAGAAATGGTGGATGTGAAGGTTTGCTCAGCCTCACGCCTACCAGGGCTAGCTGGCAGAGATAGACTGAGAGCATCAGATAGGCATTGTTGGCCAATCGCTGGTATGAATTGGTATGGTGCAAAGCTGAAGTATAGGTCTGTCTCTGCTATTGGAGGCCCTGCTTCAGGCTGTCAGAACTGAGAATCTCTACTAAACAGTGAGTAAACCATTTAGCAGTGATGTCAGACTCCAGGCATTATATCCACTTCAATCTTTTAAAATGGTTATGGTGCCTTTTAAGTATATAGTTAACAAATACCATTGTCCAATTCTGGAGACATGAAGAAAAAGAGAACAAGAAAAATTGTTAAAAGTAAATAAAAATTGACAAGACAAGACGGCTTTTTTATCTGACCAGGATACCTCCCAGATAGAACTGCTAGTTGACCAATAGCAAACAGCAAAATCTTTAAGAAAAACAATAGTAGGAATCCAAGGCTTATAAACTGTGAATCTTAGTCTTCATAGTGCCCGAGCTAGACTAGTACAGCCAATGTTCTATGTGGGCTTGTGTAAGGGGATTTAACTGATGCTGGATCTCCTCATGCAGAGCTTTAGGACGTCCAGCGTCAGATGACCTAAAGTGCGGCAAAATCCCTGAAGCGCCTCTAATGGATGACTAATAGACTAATATACAAACATTTATTCCTGACCTGATAGTGTTTCTTAAATGCATTGTGACTAGATTAGCAATCCGCATTAAATAAGTACTATGTGAAGAACAGACAGCAGAAAATCAATAATTTGAGGTTACGTGCATTCTTAAAATGCCATTCATACCATAAAAGAAGATCTGCTGACTAATGAAACTCGGAAAAGTTTAAGAGTGTGACTATCAATAGAAATCTCTGAGACATGAACACTTGGAATTGACAACATCCTGCCTCAGTGGAGCAGGAGAATACTTTTCCCATGAATTGTTTAGATGGGTCATCAAGCTCTGAAAGATTGCAGCTCCTCTGCCATTCTCTTAAGTACTCTACTTTCCAATTGCAAAGAATACGTTTTGATCTCATAATCTTTTACCCAGTACTGTATACACAAGCCCAATTTATTGTAGAGGACTTAATAAATAATTCATAATGACTTTCTCTTTGTTCTTTCATGTTCTGTAATTATTATGCTTTGACACGAGGGGATTTCTGTGCATTTGTAGACATTGCTAGCAGTTTCAGAATATAAGGGTGGGCCAAAATTCAGAGAAGGATTTGACAGGTAAATAATTTATTTGTTAGTAATTCCATTTTTTCGTTGCAGGTATATAATATTCCGCGAAGAGTCCCGATGGACCTCCTGAGACAACTGTTCGGCTAGCGGATAATTGAAAGAAATTCCTAGATTAATTGGCCGCCACGTTCGCCCGACCTTTCAGCTCCCAATTAATTTCTGTGGGGAAATATGAAGGAGAGGGTGTTTGAGAATAATCTGCATACACTTGAGCAGCTCAAAGAGAATATCCGTGCAGAAATTCAAGCGTCTCAAAAATTAACTAATGTTATAAACAATACAACTGAAAGAGCCCAACATTGCGAGGCGACAGATGGAGCTCATTTAAAAGATGTCATCTTCCCTACCTAGTCAAACAAATCTCCATTAAGCATTTATTGTAAGTAATATCATTGAAATTGGTTCGTTAACAAAAATAAAAAAAAATATTTATTGACTTCTCGAACCCATCTGTGAATTTTGACCCACCTTGTAGTTTACTGAAGCTGAGCCATGCTTAAAGGATCACTCTGTGCAACATTACCAGGGCAGCTTGAAGTAGTGGCCATGTTATCTAGAGTCTTTGAGTTCCAACCTCCTTAGAAGAAGCTTGACAATACCTGTGAATTTTAAGGTATCTGGAAACAACCCCCCCTTAGGAACCATAACTACTATAACAAATTGAAGTCTTTATGGTGCCTGGAGTCCATGGGCGCCAAGTCTTGCTGCATTGATGAAATGAAATTAACATTCTGCATTATCAGTGTTAGTTTTTTCCAACTTCCATAGCAGTGATTGGCTGTCAGTGCTGCTGGTAGGTTAGCATGTTACACAAATGTTTTATTAAACTTTGCAAATTAGAGCGTCAAGACCACTTCAGAACATCGACAAGACCTCTAGGTAAGTAAGAAAGAAGAACAAATGCTATTAAGAGGACACTAAGCTTCGTACCCCCTGAAACTTACTGTAGTGGTTATTTGGGTGCAGTCCCTCTGCATTTGAGTCGTTTGATAAAAAAAAAAAAAGGAATTCATTACACTGGAGTTGGAAAATCAGGGAATATATAGAAAAACAGGTGTACCTGAATCCCCACGATCTGCTCGCTCCATAAACATTACCGATCCTTCTAACATTTGCATAGAACTAGCTTAAGTACTGTTCCCAAGTACTATTACGCCATACTATAACTGTTGTGAGTGTCACAGATGTATCGCTGCCCACATTTCTTGAATTCTGAAACAGTTTGGAAACATAGTCTATGGATCACTAAATAAACTAACTATCTTGTGCTTTAACTCCATTCGGGTTTTACCTCCTGCAGTTTTGGTGTAAGCATGATTAAATCCCTACTTATACCAGCGACTCCCAGGTATCAAGAATTACCTGGGGCTCCCCTCTGTCAGCTGGGGCAATGTTTAGTGGCATACGTAATTCAACTAAAAACCATTGGGAGAAGAAATATTCAAACAGTGCACAATTTAATAAAAACAAAACAAAAAAACAGTCCCTTTATTGCTTCATAGTTAAAATCGCGCCTGGAACCAACAGTAGGGAGGAAGACACGACCAGGATAACGCTAAAGTGTTATGAAGATGAAGTGCCCATATGGTGCAAAATGTAATGATGGTGGTGTCTTCTCCCCTACTGCTGGTCCCATCCAAGCAATAGAGTGCTGGGTTTTTTAAAATTAAATTTTGCACTGTTTGAGTGCTCTTTTTTTTTTTCTCTCGATGGTTTTTGGCTGCATTACGTATGCTTTCTTATCTACGGACTCAGAATCCGTTATAGCACTTGTGCAATCCTTCCCATCTGTGATATGCAGATAACTCCAGTGGAGTGACCGGCAGGAGGGCAGTGGTGTATTTTGAATTTGTGCTGCCCTAGGCACGACAAAACTCGAGCACCCTACTAATTTAAATTTGCCCCACCCCTTCCTGTCAAGGCCGCATGCACTTTGACTGACAGACACTCCCTCACTGATGCATGCACTGACATACACTTACTGAAAGATACAGTCATTGGCACACACTGTTTAGCCAACACACACACTCGCTGACAAGCACACACTTTCAGATACACTGACGTACAATGACATACACACACACTCTGATTTGAGACACTCTGACACACACACACTATTACGCAGACACACATTGACAGACACATACACTCACTGACAGACACACACTGACTGACAAACACACTCACAGACACACTCACTCACACACTAACGGATAGACACACACACACTCATAAATATTTCGCCCAATACTCACAAACTGGGAGAGCTGGAATGGATTCCATACCTGGGGTCAAGTGGGGCTGCTAGTGCTGCTGCGTAGGTGTACGTACAGGCAGGCAAGGGGCGAACGGCCAGAGTAGGCGGCTGAGAGAGCTCTGATCTTCCTGCTAAGCTCCCTTGCGCACCGCTTAGTGATGCTGGGAGCCGGACTGACGTCATATTCCGGCTCCAGGCATCACTAAGAGGCACATGAGGAAGCTGAGTAGGAAGATCTCATAGTACAGCACTCCCTCGCCTCATGCCCGCAATACTAGCTGCCGTCCGTCTACAGCTCCCATGATGCTTTGCATCCCTTTAGAATGTCCTTAGAATGACAAGTCAACATGGGAGTTGTAGTTATAAAACATCTGGGGATCTTTCTTTTGGGCACCCCTGCTGTAGGTGGTCTTTAGGGTTACCAAGTAGTTATCTTTGTGGATTACATGGAGAAATGCAAAAGGTGAGATCCTATATCAAATTAAGTGATATGGTTTTACCGTGACAAATTGCCTGTTATTTGTGGGTTACATAGTTACATAGGCTGAAAAGAGACGTGTCCAAGTTACCTGTTTTTGCTGTTGATCCAAAAAAAGGCAAAAAAAACAGTTTGAAGCACTTTCCAATTTTGCAACAAACCAGGAAAAAAATCCTTCTTGACCCCAGAATGGCAGTCAGCTTACTACATGTATGTTACATATTAATGACATTTCTGTGTGTATTATGCATATATAAATGTATATTAATATGTCTAAATATTAAAGGCATAATTATATATATTACTAATACACATATTAATATACATGTCTATATATATATATATATATATATATGGAAAATGATGAAGAGAGCACTCCAGAGGATAATTTCAATCAAACTTTATATATAGTAAAGGGAATCAACGTTTCGACCCAGGAGGTCTTTGTCTTTTACCCCATATTGATAACGCCATTATTGGCGAAACGCGTTTATGGACTTTTTATTGTGTATTTTATATATATTAAAGTATATTTGGTTACTTTTTATTTGTGCCACTTATCCTTTTAAACACTCTAATTCATTTACTACCTGGCATCCTCTCAACATCCCGGACTCCAAGAAATCCTAGGTGGGGATTATACCACCAGCGCTACGTCAAGGAGCAGTTGTTCTGCTCCTGTCTTGTGAGTACCCATTCTATTTTATTTAATTTTATTACCAATATTTTACTCAGTGTACACTATTGGCTGTTTCTTTCTACCCGAGTGTTGGATACACCACTGACGGAGGAAGTCCACCCTATATCCCATAAGCGGGGATCAAACCGCTGTACGCCTTCTATACTAGAGCAAGTTTAGCTCTTTCAAAAGTGAGTTTTATTTTTCCCTTTTTACTCATTTTTATTGGTTTAAGCATTTTACACTATTGGTTCTCCACTCTTTTTTCTTCTATATATGAGCGGACCCTCACGGATGAACATAAAAAGGACAATTGTTCCGGATCAAGCACGGATAGATTCCATGACCTCAAAGAGCATATTCTAGATAAGACGTTCTTGTTTTACTACATTTATTTATTTGGACTATTTGTTATTTTATTTTGCATTGGCGCAGCCCTTATCTTTTATTCTTTCTCTCTTTGTGTTATTTTTAAGGGTTCCTGAGGGATTCCCTTATAGAGTTGCTGCCCTTATATTAGCTAGCGCTTACTCTCTGTTCTGTTTTTACTTTGTCAAGATACAATACTTTGTCAAGATACACTTTGTCAAGTGTAACAATAAAGTAATATGCAATAAGGGATAGGAGTGGAGTGGAGATGAAAAGTGAGTGTGAGGAAGGTTAAATAAAATGAGTGAGGTGAAAAAAGAAGTGAGAAAGTGTCAAAGGAGTGTGGGCTATATACAAATCAATATATATATATATATATACAAAAAAAATATCAATCAGCAATTTGCATCATAGACACTATAATAAAAAATAACATACAAGTGCTGCTGATGCCTTGGCAAAAGAACAATCAAAGCCGGATGATAAATATATCATGTAAGAGCAATAAAGATTTAAGCTACAATCAGTTATAACAATTTTTTGGTAGAGGAGAGAGAGACAGCCTGGAGATGGACTAAATAAATGGAAAACATAAAGTAAACAAATCAATAAAAATAAATATAAAACCAAAAATAAAAAATATAACTAAATCACAAAATGCATGTATAAATAAAATAAAATAAATTGATGATGATACAACTAAACATAAAAATAAATAAAAATAATAATAATAAAAAAATAATAATAAATAATAATAAATGAATAAATAAAAAATAAATAAATAAAATAAAAAATAAAAATATGTATAAATGTATATATTGGAAGGAAAATCTATTTAATAAAAGGCCCTTTTCTCACCTGTCAATTAGCTCTTCAACATAAACTCCTATGCTGAAGAGCTGAGTTACAGGGAGAGCATGAGACACAGGTAAAAAAATGCATCCCCCCCACCCCAACACACACACAAAAAAAAATTCATTTTCTCTTGCATTTCTTTTAACACCCTTTTGAATTTCTTTTTTTTTGTGTGTGTTTCTTATTCCCTCCTTTCATTTTTTAACCTCGTTTAGTGTATCTTGTCATTTTTCCTCCTTTGTGTCTCCTACAACTCCCCTTGTGTATCTT